CTCATCTGTGACACTGGGAAAATAATAATGCCTATTTCATGGAGATTCTACAAGGATTAGGTGATACTCGGTAAGCCCTCCTGAAGTGTTAGCTATTCTCGGTGTTAGCTATTCTCACTGTCCCATTGCACCCACATTAGCAGCTGCTTTTTCTGTTCTCTAAAGGTTCTAGGTCCTTCTCACCCCAGGATTTTCACTGTTGCCTCTGCTCACGGCCAACTTTTATTCATTCTTCAGACTGAAATGTCATTTCTCTGAAAAGGCATCCCAACTCACCTCTCCCCTCATACTTCTTAACAGAGTCGGTTAAGAACTCCTTTCATTAAGGGGGTAGGAGAAGAGTAAATGAAACAAGATGGGATTGGGAGGGAGACAAACCATAAGTGACTCTTAACCTCACAAAACAAACTGAGGGTTGATGGGGGGAGGGGGGTTGGGAGGGGGGGCTGGGGTTATGGACATTGGGGAGGGTATGTGCTATGGTGAGTGCTGTGAAGTGTGTAAACCTGGCGATTCACAGACCTGTACCCCTGGGGATAAAAATATATTATATGCTTATAAAAAATAAAAAATTAAAAAAAAAAAGAACTCCTTTCAAACACTCATTCACTCTGTAGTTTTCCTTTGCAGCCCTCATTATAAATCAACGTTTGTTTACTCCATTAAAATAGGGGACATGTCTGTCTCACACTGCTTGGCATCCACCCTGATACTTAGCACAATTCTGAGTCCATAGTAGCATTCGTAAAGTATTTTCAGTATTTGATGAATGAATGACTTCTTAAATCTGACTATGCCCAATTTTTTTTTTTCTCTTAGGATTGCAACAACCTATAAAAGTCACTATTCTGCTCAGGGGCAGACCTCTTCACTCCCCTGACTCTCTGAGATAAAATTTTCAGAAATGCAAATCAAGAACTTAACACATGCTTAACTTTTGGCTGAATGAGACTTCCACTAGTATGTGTCTTCACTCCAAGTTACTACAGATCTGCACTGATCAATACAGTAGCCACTACCAAATGGGGCTACTGAGTAAAATGTGGCTACTCCAATGGTCCAAAATGAAATGTACTGTTAAGTGTAAAACAAATGCTGGATTTTAAAAAATTTGATACAAAAAAGAATGATACCTTTTGGCTCCCTGAGCAGCTCAAAGGTAGTCAGCAAGAACAAGCACCTTACAAAAGGCGGCAAAAAGGGAGCCAAGAAAGGGAGCTAAGAAATATTGGTATAATGTGAAAGCACCAGCTATGTTCAATTTAAGAAGTATTGGGGGGAACCTGGGTGGCTCAGTGGGTTAAGGCTCTGCCTTCGGCTCAGGTCATGATCCCAGGGTCCTGGGATCGAGCCCTGCATTGGCCTCTCTGCTCAGCAGGGAGCCTGGTTTCCCCCCTCTCTCTGCCTGCCTCTCTGCCTACTTGATTTCTGTCAAATAAATAAATAAAATATTTTTAAAAAAAGGAGAAATATCGAGAAAACATTAGTCACGAGAACTCAAGGAACCAAAATTGTATCTGATGGCCTCAGGGGTCGTGTTTTTCAAGTGAGCCTTACTGATTTGCAGAATGAAGTTGCACTTAGAAAATTCAAGCTAAGGGCGCCTGGGTGGCTCAGTGGCTTAAAGCCTCTGCCTTCGGCTCAGGTCATGGTCCCAGGGTCCTGGGACCGAGCCCCGCACTGGGCTCTCTGCTTGGCAGGGAGCCCGCATCCTCCTCTCTCTCTGCCTGCCTCTCTGCCTACTTGTGATCTTGGTCTGTCAAATAAATAAATAAAATCTTAAAAAGAAAAGAAAAGAAAAGAAAATTTAAGCTAATTACTGAGGATGTTCAGGGCAAAAACTGCCTGACTAATTTCCATGGCATGGATCTTACCCATGACAAAGTGTGCTCCATGGTCAAAAAATGCCAGACCATGATTGAAGCTCATGTTGATGTCAAGACTACTGATGCGGGGGCGCCTGGGTGGCACCTGGGTGGCTCAGTGGGTTAAAGCCTCTGCCTTCAGCTCGGGTCGTGATGCCAGGGTCCTGGGATTGAGCCCCCCATCGGGCTCTCTGCTCAGCAGGGAGCCTGCTTCCTCCTCTCTCTCTCTGCCTGCCTCTCTACTTGTGATCTCTATACAGAGATAAATAAATAAATAAATAACATCTTAAAAAAAAAAAAAAAAGAATCTGTTTATAATTCAGACATTTAATGGTGACAAAAAAAATCTTATTTGTGTTGTTTAAAAAAAGAATGATAAATATCTCATAATTTTTAATATTTATCACACGATGAAATGGTAATATTTTGCAAATGTAAAGTTAAATAAAACACATTACTAGAATTGATTTCATTTGTTTTCTTATCCTTTTAAACATGGCTACTAAAAAATTTACATATATGGCTTCCATTAGATTTCTACTGGACAGTGCTATTTTATTTTATTTTATTTTTTAAATAATTATTTATTTATGGGGGGGAGGGGCAGAGAAGGAGAGAAAGAATCTCAAGCAGACTCCCCACTGAATGCAGAGCATGACCTGGGGCTGATCTCATGACCCTGACATCAGGACATGCACCGAAATCAGATGCCAGATGCTTAACCGACAGAGCCACCCAGGTGCCCTGGACAATGCTGTTTTACATTATCTGCCTAAAAAGTATGTTGTATTTCCCTATAACATCCCCTCATTTCCTCTCATCTTAATCCTTAAGATGTACTTCAAACTCTTTCAGTCTTTCTAAATATTGACATTTCCGACGCATGGGCTATTCCACCATTCCCTGTGGAACATATCTGATTCTTTTTTTTTTTCCCTGAAGATTTATTTATTTATTTGAGGGGGGAAGGGGGAGAGAGAATCTCAAGCAGACCTCCTTCCCAATGTGGGACTCAATCTCATGACCCCGAGATCATGACCTGGGCTGAAACCAAGAGCTCAACTCACTGAGCCACCCAGGCGCCCCATCTGACTCTTTTAAACAGCACAAGGTTTCCTACTTAAACTTGCGTCTCAACACATCAAATCCCAACAAACTGGAGATTTACCATCCTGTGGCTACAGTATTATTATACTATAATCACGATGGTTAAAAACGTAAGATCTGGAGCCAGGCCACCTGACTGAGAGTCCTGGCTCTACTACTTACTAGCTGTGTAACCATGTGTCTCTGGTGAGCTGTGTGCTTCAATATCCCCAACCGAAAGATGGAGATGATGAAAGTGTCTAGGGATGAGAGCACTAATTGATATTGGTGAAGTGCAGAGGCTGGTGCCTGGCGTGCAGTAAGCATTCGCTACATAATGACTACTATTTATGTCATTATACACATCCTCGCCCTTCCCACCTACTCATATACTCTCTTAGAACACTGGGCACCTCTTCTAGTGATGTTGTTCTTTCCAAATCTGATAGGTTTTATGCTCAGATCTTTTAACTTCAAAACTCTGCCACTCCCCGCCTCTCCCGAGTAGCACTTGGGTAAAGTACTTAACCTCCTTCATTTTTCAGTTTCCTTATCTGTACATGAGAAAGGATATTGCCACCTTCCCTTCCTCATACAAGTTTGAATAACATCATGTGGATATAAGTTCCTTGCATTAGCACCTGATGGATGCCTCGTATACATTTTCTGGTTTAATACATAAGGTCCTCACAACACACCATAAAATAGGTATTCTATGAAGAAGGAAACAGGATCCGGATAGTCAAGACTTGCCCAAAGTTGCACACCTAGCTAAATAGCAGAGCCGGTATCACTCCCAGTCTTATGTTTTCACGAAACCAAAGCTGCTCCCTAAGTCCACAAGCGCTACAACTAAATTAATTCATGCTGTTTATGGCATTCCAATGTTTGGAGAAATGCATAAACCAGCAAAGTAGGTCTATTGCCGTGTTGCCCATGGAAACTGCAGCAGAAAATAAAACCACAGGTTTTCCTAATATTATTAGGAATCCGAGAGCTCCAGAGTCGGCGACGTATCTGTAATTTTAATAAACAAAAAGCGACGGGTTTTTGCTCTAGCAACCCCCCCCTTCCCCCACGGAGAAAACTGCGGGTCGCGGGGAGGAGGTTCAATTGTGGGGCCTTCCGGGCTGGGCCCATCTCTGCCCAGGCAACTCGGCCCGGCCGCCCCCAGGCCGGGAGGAGGCCGCCGCCGCCGCGCCGGGCTGCCGGACCCTCCCCCTCGGGGCTCGGGGCCCAGCGCCCAGCGCCCAGCGTTGCGCCCGCCCGCCCCTCACCTCCGGCTCCGGGCGCTCCGAGGCCATCACACAGCACTGCCGCGCCGGCCCGGGCCAAAGAAGATGCTCCACTGGTGACCCCTGACCCGGCTACTGGAGCCTCGCAGGAGCCGGAAGTAAGTGGGAGGGCCGAGCTCTGAACTTTCTGATTGGGGGACGAAGCCCTCTCAGAGTGGCTCGCTGACTAGGAAACCGGAAGGGGAAGTCGTTGCCGCCGCCGCTGCCGCCGCGATGCAGGTGAGAGCGGTTTCGGGACTGTTGACCGCTACCTAGTTAGCTAGCTTCAGGCAACTGGACTGAGAGTGGGCTGGCCGAGGAGTGAGGAGTTGGGGCTGGCAGGAGAGGGCAGAGCCCAGAGCTGACGGGTATGGGCCCGCGGGATGGGGAGGCGCGGCCGACTGCAGAGGTGGGGGTGGGGCCCATCTAGCAGGAGACTGGCCGAGTTGCGAGGAAGGAGACCCCGCGGACTTGCTGGGGTGCACGAAGGGATCAGGGTGCTGTAACCTGGGAAGGTTGAAATGCAATCCAAGGAAGACGGCACAGGAAAGTGGCGGGTTGGCTCAGGCCCCGGCCTAGACTGTTGGATGGACGCTGTTGGATGCAGACATAACAAGGGAACTGGAATTGGAGAGAAGCCGGGGTTGGGGTGGGTGGGGGGCGGTGAAGGAATTGCAGGGTGGGGTGGCAGAAAGCTGAGCTAATTATAATCTGAGGCTGTGGGTGGAACCCAGGATCGAGGCTCATGTCCTACACATTGGTGAGTTTGCAAGACGATTTTGCATCATTCTTCCCAGCCTGAGCCTGTTAGTTGTTAAGGATAAAGAAATGAAGTAAAACTGGAGACAGCAGATGGAAAGGAAATGCTTGCAGACACCCCAGCATTTAAAATTGTTTCTCTGGTGCTTAGGAGCGTGTGCCTTTATTTTGTTTTGTTTTGTTTTGTTTGTCACTTGCCACTTACTTTCTTGCACCTGGTTCTCTGTCAGTAAATGTTTATAAGTTGACTAAACTTGTGAAAGGGACACAGGAATATTGGCACAGAGATAAAACGAGTGTCGATTAATTCGGCAAGAAGAAGTTTGAAAACATCAAATGCTGAGGCCAAAGGAAGAGTGGGAGAGAGTGGGGAGCAGTGGTGGTACAAGCCTGGTATTCAGGGAAACCTTGATATGTGGGTAGGTTTTCCTAGAGATTGTTATTGGCAAGAACTGCCAGGCTCACGAGGCAGGTTCTAGTACAGAAGAAGCTGAAATACACATGCTGCACACGTGCACAAAAGATAATAAAGCCCAGGTATTAGGTCTTGTGAAAATGTCTCAGTGAGTGAGTACAGAGTGTTTCCAATGCAGAGAAAAGCCAGACATGAATTAGGAGATGATGAGAGAAAGGAGGAATTGAGGTCAGGGGAATGGATTGAAAGGTCTAAGGATTGATGCTGTCTGTAACCCAAATACCAAAGATAGAAAACAGTCTGGCTCTCCTGCGCCGGGGAGATCGTGTGTTACTTGAGTAGTTTTACATACTGTCATCCTGGGTTTTCAGCCTTCCTCTGTATGTGTCATACTCACGGCTATCTGGGTAACCAACCTGTTCCTATTGGTGCAGAGGGAGGAGAAGCAGCTTGAGGCATCATTAGATGCACTGCTGAGTCAAGTGGCTGATCTGAAGAACTCACTGGGGAGTTTCATTTACAAGTTGGAGAACGAGTATGACCGGCTGACCTGGTAAGGGTTGCCAGGGCAAGCTGAGGAGGGCTCCATGGGTGTGTGTGTTGGGGGGGGCAGGTCTCCTGGTGGATAGGACATCTCCAATGATGTCACAACTTAGCACTTGGCAAACATCTTTTTTTTTTTTTTAAAGATTTTATTTATTTATTTATTTGACAGACAGAGATTACAAGTAGGCAGAGAGGCAGGCAGAGAGAGAGGAGGAAGCAGGCTCCCTGCTGAGCAGAGAGCCCGATGCGGGGCTCGATCCCAGGACCCTGGGATCATGACCCGAGCCGAAGGCAGCGGCTTTAACCCACTGAGCCACCCAGGTGCCCCGGCAAACATCTTTTGATTTGGAAAGAGCTGGGTTTCCCAACATTTAACAAGTGAAGTTTGTCTTAGGGCCACCATGGCAAGGAAGTAGAGAAATGTCCAGTTTCCCAACCTAAGTTCTTTCTAGCTTTTGACTCTCACCCTTTGACTTCTCTGGGAGGAGGTATTCCCTCAGTGGGTCCTCCTACTACAGTAAGAATCCAGTGTTCATCCTGGATCTCTTACCAGAGATATTGCTGAGTCTTTTAGGTCCAGCCTACTCTGGAAATGTGGATCCTATTTTTAGGCCTGAAAGGAGGCCTTTACCCAGTTTCTGAATGTTTAGTGATAGGGATAGCCGTGGTTCTTATTTTGCCACTGGTCCTCATCCCATTCAGAGAATGAACTGCCTTATTTTCCACCTGTGTCAGAAAATTAAAGTGTGTCCCTCTTTCCTAACCCCACAATCCCTGGGAGCCAGTCTGATTCCTGCCCAGTCCAGGTGAAGTGCTAGGAGCCTTTCTGGGGTGAGCCCGGGTATTCCTAGTCTGAAGGACCGCTTCAGGGCTACTTTACTGAGAACATTCTGACACCTTCTTATCACCACCAGGCCCTCTGTCCTGGACAGCTTTGCTTTGCTCTCCGGACAGCTGAACACTTTGAACAAGGTCTTGAAGCATGAAAAGACACCACTGTTCCGTAACCAGGTCATCATCCCTCTGGTGCTGTCCCCAGACCGCGATGAAGATCTTATGGTAAGAGAAGGAGACGGGTACGACATGGAAAATTAAATTCTTAGATGAGGATTTAGAGCACAATTGTTGCTGGGTTATTTTAGAAGTTCTGAAGGCATAGTGTGTGGTGGTAGAAAGCAAGGGCTGCATTTTGGAGACCTTGCTTTTTTTACTTCTGGAGTTGGGGAGCCACTCCCAAATAGTGCCAAATAAACCTGAGGCCTATGTCACTAAGACAAAGACCTTTCTCCTCCAATACCTACCTTGAGCGAAAAGTATGTTCTTTTGTGAGTTTGTCCGTTTTGGTATTATATTAAATGTACCAAAGAGAAACTTGCCCCTGGGTCTGGTAGAAAGAGAAGTAGGAGGAGACAGAAAGGAAGGAGGGAGTAAGGGCATTAGTGTCCCTGGAAGCTAGATATTATAAGTGTCAGGTGGTGTTTTCCCTGAGAATGTATCATTTGCCTATGGAAGGAACTGTATATATCACGCTAGACTGAGTCTACTTGAGTTGCATAGGAGGATCAATAAAATCTGTGTTACAGCGGCAGACTGAAGGACGAGTGCCTGTTTTCAGCCATGAGGTGGTCCCTGACCATCTGAGAACCAAGCCCGACCCTGAGGTGGAAGAACAAGAAAAGCAGCTAACCACAGATGCGGCCCGCATTGGTGCTGATGCAGCTCAGGTTGGACGGCTATCCCACCTCCCCTGCCCCATACCCCGAGTCCCATCACAAGAAGCTAGGCATTAGCATCTGTGTCTGGTGGGGATGCACAGTCAGTTACGCATAAGTTGCCTCTGGAAGAGCACAAGGAAGAAACTTCACCACACTCATTTCTTGTTTTCCCTGATCTCTGCACAAATGTGTGTATGTTACAGAAGCAGATCCAGAGCTTAAATAAAATGTGCTCAAACCTTCTGGAGAAAATCAGCAAAGAGGAACGGGAATCGGAGAGTGGAGGTACGGAGGGATGGGTGGCGAAATGGAGAAGGAAAAGAGTGAGGGACTCGCTGGAATAGGAGTGGTGGTTTCGGTTTGGTGGAGTGAGGACAGGAGATCCAACTGCTTCGGAAAGGGACACGTCCATTCTGTTTGGCATGTGTACTTAGGGCTAGCCCCGGAGCAGGTGGCAGAAATGGGCAAAATGAGAGGAGGGAATTCTGAGATAGTTGTGGGGGTCTTGGGGGCCTCTCCCTCCGGGCTGCTGGTGAGTATGGATGCTACTGAGCTCTGGTCCTCCGAGCCCTGGGGCTCAGCCTGATCTTCCTGCCGCTAGCTTCAGTCCAGGGTCAGAGGCATACCTCAGCCTCCTTACTTCACCTTTTTCTTCAGGTCTCCGGCCAAACAAGCAGACCTTTAACCCTGCAGACACCAATGCCTTAGTAGCTGCCGTGGCCTTTGGGAAGGGGCTGTCTAACTGGAGACCTTCAGGTAGCAGTGGTCCTGGCCAGCCAGGCCAGCCCGGAGCTGGGACCATCCTTGCCGGAGCCTCAGGACTGCAGCAGGTGCAGATGGCAGGAGCTCCAAGCCAGCAGCAGCCGCTGCTCAGTGGCGTACAAATGGCTCAAGCAGGTCAAACAGGTGAGGGGGCAGGGAATGACATGGTAGCAGACCTTGAGAATGGAAACAGGAATAAGCTGCATTGTCTGAGCCCCCAGCATCCCAGAGCTGTAGATTTTCTCCTTTTCTTCTTGGACCAGGACCCATAAAACAATTTTTTAGAAGTAAAGATCTCCTTGAGAGTCTGTAGCAGCAAGAGTCCTTTCCAGAGAAAGGAAGAACTTTGAACAACAGAAACTGTGCCTCCCCCCCACCCCTGTCTTAGAAGCTGCCTCAGCTACTGTTCTGTCCCATTTACTCTGGATACTAGGTGTGCTGTCAGGGTCTTTTCTTAGAGAGACCAACAGTCTTAAGACCATTCAGTAGGTGCGCTGGGGACTGACAAACAGGCAAGGTCCATGTATTCTTTTCTGTATCCTGTCTCTCCTGCTTACTGTTAATAGTTACGAGAACAGTCTGGATGAGTTCAGATGTACGTGGCTAAAAGAGTTATTTATTTTTTTTTCAAAGCTGTTTGGGAAAAGGAACAATTATAATAAGAGAAAAGATATATATATATATATATATATATATATTTTTTTTTTTTTTTTTAATTAACCTGTGGCATTAAATGGGGACTAGCTGTCTCTTCTGGGAGTAGCTGAGTAGGAGACTGACGTGTGTGTTTCAACCCCTCCTGCTATCAGCCTTCTCCTCCCAGACACCTTCAGGGAGAGGGCTGGTTAAGACCCACACCTCTGATCTTTACTACCCAGGGTCAGAGGCCACAGAGGTTCTGAGACGATAGAGCGAAGGGGTGGCAGAAGGGAAGGGAACCCGGGAGACCATCGCTCTGGTATATCATGAAAGTCTCACCATGCTGCAAGTGTCTTTCTTCATGTTTCTTTTAGGGAAAATGCCAAGTGGAATAAAAACCAACATCAAGTCAGCTTCTATGCATCCCTACCAGCGGTGAGTGTGGCCGGCAACCTCCACTCCCCGGAGCCCCTTGCAGAGCTGGGCGGTGAAATTGCCTTCTTCCCTAAGCTGAACTAGATGGGTACAATAAAGAGAACATGGGCTTTTGGCACCAGACAGATCCCGGCTCCACCACTGACTGACTGAGTGACCTTGGGCAAGTGACTTAATTTTTCTCAGCCTGTTTTCTTGTTTGTAAATGGCAATGATACCTACCTCCTAGGGATGTTGTAAGGATTAAAAAGAGAAATGAATGTAAAATACTTAGTACAGTCTGTGAAATGACGGGTATTCAATAAATGATAGTTTCTACAGCCACTTCTCCCTGCTGCCCTTCTCAGTCCTGGATCCGGAACTTAGCGGGATTTGACACTACTTCACCTCAGTGGTGAGCTGATGGATTCAGGGTCATTGGCTGCCTCATTCTGTTTGAAAGCCTGTGCTTACTTTGTGCGGCCAGAAACTGTCGTAGCCTCTGTGTGTCCTTAGGGGCATGCCGGCTCGGCAGTCCCCCCTGCCCAGGTTCCATCCTGGCCATCTCTCCAGGCTGTGGGTGGCGAAGCTTCTGGGCTGGGTCAAATGGTCCACCTGTGGCTCTGGTGAAGTGTGGGTCTGCTCTCCTCCTTCTCTCCTTTAAGAAGCTAGTTCAGCTCTTACTGGGGCAATAGTCACAAAGTCGCCCACCCTTTACCTTATCCCATACACAGGAAAGAAGATGTTGACAGGTCCTCTGGGTGGGGGCTTCCCAGGATCGGGCTCTACCAGGTAGGACTGTGTGAGAAAGGGATTTTCTTTGCACATGAAGAAACCCCTTCTTCCTGGACTCATTTTCCTTTTTTTAGAGGGAGAGGGGAATTCCACTTTGCACTATCTTTCTTCAGGGTTTAGTTGTCCTCATAACAGTGTGTGGTGCCTGGACTCCAGCCAGGATGGCTTTCCTCCAGTCTGCTGAAGCTCAACTAAGAACCAGATTGCTGGTGGGTGGGGACAGCCACTAGGACCTTTGCCTGCTTTGCATCAAGCTGAAGAGTGGCGTGAGTTGGGTCTGTTGCTAAGCTGCCTTTCTTGGTGTGCCTTTGCAGGCTCCAGGGCAGGGCCTGAGTCAGGAGGGGACGGAAGGGTTTCTCTGAATAAAGTTATTTAGACTGGAGGCCACCGTGTCAGGGTTAGCAGACAGAGATTTATGAGAGAGCTATGTAGCATCAGAGACCCAGTGTCAGAGACTTCCAGAGTCTCTGCAAGGCAATTCTCATTTGTTCTCCATTAAATGTTTTCTTAGCTTCAGTTAGCTTTGATCTGAAAATCCTGAGCGGTATGAGGAGGGCCTGCTCATACCTGCCGGCTGCCTTTCTTCTGTTCTCTCCTGTCACACAGTGGGGCATTGGCATTTGTTTTGTGCGGGGCAGAATTCTGCCAGGCTGTGGCAGCAAAGGACTGGGAAAGTGGTCCCTGATGTCATCCCTTCTTGCCCCATCAAGACGAGATGGGATCCGCAGAGTTCAGTGGTCATAGCATACAGCAGCATGGGGACATCCTGTTTTCAGCTCTGAGGCAATGCCAGACCTTTCCCCCACTTCAGCAATATTGCCTTATTGCTCTGCCTGCCTGCTCAAGTGTTCCTTAGGTTCTTACCCCCACCCCCGCCACTGGAAGTGTCAAAGCTAACTGTCATACTGGATAAAGTTCATGTTGTACATCTCTGAAACCCCTGAAACAGCTTTTGGTGACTGCTGTCCTTAATTCTACCAGAAGATTCCCTTCTATTGAGAGGCACCAACCCCAAGTTTCTTTGTTGTATCAGACCAATAGTACCTTCATTCCCACCATTAATATTTGAAATGGGTTCCTTGTTCTCCCAGGGTGGAAGTGTCCTCCTGCCCCAACAGAAGCATGAGCAGGACCTCACTTATATCTTGGGCCCTTATGCAAACAAGCCATACTCTGGAGGCACTCACATTCCTATATTCTTCACTCTGGAAACATGTTATTTCCAACCCCCTCACACCCCCACATCCTCTGGAGTACACACACCTGTGTAGCATCACCAACTTTGGGACCTATACAACCCAGTAAATGCCCCAGTGGAAAGTATCTCCCTCCCCTCACACACATTTCCTCCATTCCCTCAGGAGCGAATATATGTGGCGCCCTCTTCGAAGAAGATGAAGTGGCGTGCTTACTTGTTCAGATTTAGGATTTGTAAAAGATGGCTCTCTTGCTCTTCTTTGGTGGTATTCCTGTTTCTGAATACTCGGTTTTGCCTGGGTACTGTGCTTTCTCCTAATCTCGGAGAAGGAGATTAGGCCATTTCCTAATCGGGATTGTGCCTAGGGTGGAGAAAGCAACACTGTGAAACTGTGAGAGCTTTCTACAGCGCACAATTCATCCCACTGAAGGCAGAAGCTTAATCCATATCTGCATGAAAGCCACTGCCTAGGACCACTCTGTCCCCAGCTCTGCCCTGTGGCTAGAATTCTGTCATTGTTGACCCTCCCTTTTACTCATTACCCCAGTCACCCCGTTCTCTACCCCTCCTGAGGTCTACTGCTGCCCTATCCAGCCAACTTTACTTAACCTTGTGCTTTCTTGTGAAACAGCCCAAATCGATCGATTGTAGCTGAGTGCTCCTTCCAGTTCTGTAATGGGTTCTGGCTTGAGGACGGAGCTGGAGGTGTTGATTGCCTACCTCCTGTCCTGCTGTCAGGGAGGAAGCTGAACTCTGCAGGAATGCCCTAGTGCAAGGCTGGTCCCTTTTCCCACCCCATTCTCACCTCCCCCGGGCAGCTGGGAACAACCTCTCCCTTTGTCTGAGCTTCTTGTACAGAATAATCCCCCTTACGGACAATGTATTCTCTGTGCCCTGTGGACATAGGAGCCGTGTGAGCTGATCCCAGCACCAGGCAGGACGGGAGGCTGAACCCTTCCAGACGCCCACCCTGGGTCAACTCCTGATTACTGTCCAGAGAAATCACTAAGGGATGTACGTTGACCTACTGGCTAAATCCAGAATTTTTTCAGGGTCCATTTTACTTGATCTCCATGGCATTTCCTAGAACTGACCACTTCCTTCTCATCTCTTTCTCCCCACTTGGCCCCTGTGTCTCTGACCATTCCATTTCTGCAGCTTTTGGCCTTCTGTCCATCTGCCTGCTGTCTCTGTGACTACCGCTTTTATTTTCAGCTCAGAGCTCTCTGCCCCTAGGATCCATAGGTTCCTCAGATTCTGAATGTTCAAGTCCAGTCATCCTTCCCTTTGAACCTAATTTTTTTTTTTCCGTAGTTTCCTGGGTGGGACCTAAGCCATGTCTATGGAAGCCATCCTAAACCCTTCCCTCTCTGTCCCAGCCCTTCATGACCCAGTCAGGTGCCAAATCCTATCTGTTCTTGTTCCCTGATATCTGTCCATCCTGCCCTGCATTTAAGGCCCCTGGGCCTCTTTCCCTGAAAGTGTTGTTCAGGCTCCCTGTCTCTCACTCCCGAGCGAACTTTGCTGTGGCCGCCAGGTCTTTCTAAACAGCTGATCGGATCACACTGCTTCTCTGATGAAAATCCTTTTGATAGTTCCCTCCTCGTTTCTCAAACTGGAGTCCACGCACCTGGCAGGCTGGTGTGCCAGGCACGGTGAAAGTCCTAGGATCAAATCACCCTGGAACACTCATTTTCTTGAGGGTAAGTAATTTAAACAGAGAACACAAAATTATCACGTATACATTATATGGAGAAAATAGACCTCAGGGAATTCCTACTAATCTGAAGGGGTTCAGAGTAAGCCACCAGATTTCCTGGGGGATATTTCTTTCTGTCTTTTCTGCCACTACATTTACTTCATTGAAAGAGTTTGAAAACCTCTCACATTTCCTGGAAAGGCAAGTAAGATTCTGTGTGATCTGGCCCCCTGACTCCTCCTGACTTAGTTTCTCTATTGTCCTGCTGCCCACTCTGCTCCCGAGCCATACAAGCTGCTTGAAGTTTCCTGAAAGGAACAAACTTTCTAGCCTCCGTTCCTTTAGTCCCACCGTTCCCTCTGCAAGTAACATTTGCCCCATCATTCTGTCTGATGAATACCTAGTCGTCTTTCAAAATTCAGCCCATAAGCCAGTCCTCTGTGAAACCAACGACCCAGTGCAGGCACAACTCAGTGCCACTCTAAGTAAGGTCAATTCCCTCTTCTTTTATGCTCTTTATTGTCCCCCAAGTTCAAGCACCCTGAACTGTCAGGGTTTCAATTACAGTTCATCTACCTGGGAGCTTGGTGATCTTTGTGTCTGGTGTCCTATAGCATCAGGCCCATCATAAACACGGTAAATGCTAGCTGCTAATATTAGCAGTAGTAGTGTGATTTAGTTGACTTGGGGGAGCTAGAATAAACTAGCATTTTGGTTAAATGAGCAGGTCAGACTGCCTAGGTTCAAATCCTAGCTGTACCACTTACTAGCTGTGTGGCTTGAGAAAGCTCATTTACTCTGTGCCTGTTTCCTCATTCCTGGGGATGATGATATTAGCGGCTATATCGTAGGGTTGCTGTGATGTTTAAAGAGATTAATACATAATGAAGTGCTCAGAATAGTGCTTTACAATGAAAACTTGATAAATACTCGCTATCCTTGGGGCAGCATCTAGAACTCTGCTGTCCGTAATTGTTGCTTAAGCCAATGATCAATCAGTCCCTTTCTGAGAAGATCACCTCTTCCTCCTTCTGTAGCTTGTCTATGCTGACATAATGCTCAGCCTCAGGACTCGGCCTCCGAAGAGATCCTTGGCGCACATCTCATCCCCCACGGTGTCTCTCCAGCCCCCAATGCAGAGCATTTTCACATTGGTTTACCTGGTGTGATAAGTCATTTTCGAATCTAGTTTTGTGAATTTTTTTCTCCCTCTTAGTTGACACCTGTGCTCTTCCATTAAAGCCCAGTTCGGTCTCTTAAATCGTGTCATTTTGCTTTGAGACCAAATGACAAGCTCCCTCACCTGAAGTGTTCTTTGTCCTCCCTCCTAAACTGTATCTCCTGTCCCAACCAGCTGAAGTCTCAGTTCCAGTCTGCCTACAGTTCTCTCCCTAAAGGGGGCCCTGCACCACGCATAGCCCTCTCTGCAGTTGTGATGAGCTCCCTCCTCATTTGTCCACACTTATTAGGTCCAGGTGCAGGTCTTCATGGGCTGCTGTTGGGATTCCCCGGGTATCACCACCAGATCCTATGCTTGCCTCTCTCCACACTCCCACCAGTCCTGTAAGCCTTGCTGTGTCCCAGCTACTCCACTGTCCTTGCCACTAAGCCATAAGTACTCTCAGCTGGAGCCAGGACCTGGGAGTCAG